TGAATAACACACTGAAAATAAGCGGTATATCATAAAAAATAAATGTTTTTACTATAAAGTTCGAAGGTACCCACTACATTTTAATGCTGAACAGTACGAATTGTTATAAAGCATAAAATGAAATGAAATTTTTAAAAATTGATGAATGCATCATTTTTATTACAGCTCTATGATGATTTTGTGTCCATATACAAACTTTCATCTGCAGATCTCCCGTTAGAGTTCAAATTGAAGGTAAGTGTAAATTGTATTTTAGAATTAGTATAGATTTAGTATATCTATATCTATATCTATATCTATATATATGAAAATAGACGTGTTTTTGCCTATAAGTCACTCTACAGCCATAACTACACATCACACATAAATGGTGTTTGTGCGGGGTAGTAGCCCCAAGTCTCTCATCGTGCACTATGGTGGTTGCGTCTCAATAGTTATAAGGGTGTAAGAGATATGTGGTTTGAAAGTGGTTGACTTAGAAAATGTATGACGCTTCAATGAGAATGTTGCAGTTTTTTCTAGAAAGTTCCACAGCCTAGAGATGAAATTCGGTACACAGTTAGGGTACGTCACGAGAACGCACACTAACAAGGGATTTTTTGAAATTTCCACCCCCGCGGGGAAAGGGACAAGATTAAGGTTTTAACAATGGAAATGTTAAGAGAAAGCAACGTGCAAGATTTACAGGCGCAGATGCGTTTTTTTTTTTGCGTTAAATCGAACATAATTTTAGACCCATATAAAAATTTTTTAATTAGTCTGGAAACAGGGGAACTAATTATTGCATTCTGTGAAAACGGGTAAGATTGGCTATAATGTAATTATCTTCATCTTCGTTATCGTTACTTTTTGCCCAAGCAAAGTCTGGCTTATCTGCTAGTTTGTTATAAAGTTTTCTATATATGGAGGAAAAGGATTTATGGAAAATGTCTGTAATCCCTGTTTCATCACATTTGTATAAACGGAATTATACAATAACACTGCAGTGCATTAATTACAATAAATAAATTCCTATTAGGCTTTCTAAAAAATTTTAAATGCTATTTGTAAGATTCAGGAAAAGCTCTAAAAATGAACGTTGAGATACTGTTAAATAGTGAGGGCTCCAAAGGATCTTTTTTTTTTTACTATCACCAAAATTGTAATGGATTGTGGTAGAAATTGAAAATCGAATAAAATTCAACTTCTAATTTTCATCACAATTAATCTATGTCAGAATGTTTTCAATATTTAAAATAATTAAAAAATATTCATTAATTTATAAAGTGACTATTGCAATTTAGATGGATGATTTTATGAAAAGATTTGGAAAAATTCCTTTGGCCTTTTCTATTGGCGGTTTCTTCTATATAAAAGAAGACTTTTTTATCAAGGTATGTGAAACCTTTACTTAATTTTTCAGCTAAGTAATTGCATTAGTCAATTGTGAATTCTTTGCAGATGGTCAGCGGATTGTATTCTATATTTTCCACAATCCTCGATTTAACAGGAGTGATGGAAAAAGAAAAGAAATGCGCAGAAGTTTCTATTAAAATCACAGACAAAAATAGTACTTTAATATTGTAAATTTAATCTTAATTAATCTTCGGCTGAGCAGTGGTGAAGTTGTTCTATTTCCTAAACACAGGAAATTCGGTCATGGGTTTGCGTCTCCCCAGGACGGGCTGGCCACGTGGAGTTTTCCGGGTTTTCTCCACGTCTGTAACGCCTGAATAGGGGCCAGTTACCCATAAAAAGTCCTCCCGGAAGGCACCCTTCTATGCAGATCGTCTAAGCACTGCGTTGCCATATCTTAAAAGAAACAAATAATTTATCTACGGATTTCAACACTTTAAATCACTTATCTTCTGTATATATTTAATTATAGTAAATACAATTACAGGTAACCCCCGTATAACACGGCACTTCTATAGCACGAATTCACTCTAACACGGTTCAAGTATTAGGAACATCTCCCGTATAACACGGTGCTTTTATAGCACATGTTCACTCTAACACTGTCTGGGAATTGTGTAAAACCCTTGTACAACATAAAATGTAATAAAGAGTGCGTTCTTTTATACCTCTGCGTAACTCCGTGCGAGCATTCTAATTGTTTTCGTGGCTACTTTCAATGCGCTTTCAAGAAATAACCCACTTAATGGTTAAATTTTACAATTGGCACCCTTCTTTTGCCTCTAAAAGCTCATTTTAGAATTATAGATTCCTCCACACAATACTATCGATAGTGCGGGCGCCGCCATCTTTCTTTCACCGTCGTTCCTAAATGCCTACGAACGGCAGCACACCCCCGTTGCAGAGCGACCGCTATTAACGAACGCACCCACAAACTGTTACCAGTTGATAATGCTCACACTAAGATAATCATATAAAATGAATAATCCTCTGGTAAAATATTTACTTAATTAATTAATTACCTATGAAAAAAATGAATAATAAATCTGATTTAAATAAGGATTTAAGAACATGTTTTTTTTTTTAATTTTTGGAACCTAACCTCCCTTTTCGCACTAATTCTTTGTTTCGTATAACACGGATTCGCATAACACGGCAATTTTTTGGAACGTAACTCCCGTGTTATACGGGGGTTACCTGCTATTATTTAATTTCTATTCGCTTAACAACAACTATAATATTTTTCAGAAAAATAAATAATTTTTTCGTGTTTTCAGAAGAAAACAAAAAATGTATAAATTTATGGATATAATTAAACACTTTTAGTGCGACATAAAAATGCCTAGAAAAAATGAAATATGTAAGCAACCCTATTTATTTTCTATCTTAAATTTGCACTTGATAAGTATGTCTCATCTTTACACACTGGTAGATACTAATTTTGAATGTAAAAAATTTAAAAAATTATAGTGTAACTAAAGCTTTTTAATACGAGCGCCATAATTATATGCTTTATAATATTGTAATATATTATTTTTATGTATATTTCATTTCAATATAACGAAAATAAAGTAATACACTGAAGTACATTTCTGCTTCTAATAATAAATACAGTAGAGCGTCGATTTTCCGAATCAATTGAGGACTGGGGTTGTTCGTATAACTGATATTTCGGATAATCGATTCATGTAAGAAAAAATAGTTTAACGTATCCGATGTTGAAATTTTTCTCTGTTGCGTGTCGCTTTGCGTTGAATTTTCGTCGATATTAAGCCAAACGAAGACTATTGTATCGTTAAAAATTATTTTTTTATTTTGTACAAACAAAATGAATATATTGAAAAATATAAAAACAATAAAAAATTATACTTCAGATGTTAATTTAGTATCAAAAACGTAAAATATTTGAGTAGCCCAAGACATAGCCAAAGATTGAAGTTCCACAGCACTGGCGAAAATTTAAATTTGCCAACTGGAAATCTTTCGGATGATTGACGTTTCGGATGATTGACTTTCGGAAAATCGACGCTCTACTGTATAGAGAGAAAAACTATTTTTTAACAGTGGTTTCGCGAAAAACATCACTCATTCTATGTATAAAAGCATTTATAACCCGATAATTATTAACGACACCAAGATAATATACAGCACTGTTGAACCGATACGGCTTTTATTACTTATTCTGTGATTACAATGATACCCCGAACTTACGCGATTGGTGGGACCGAGAGATAACCGCGTAAGTCGAATTCGCGTAAGTTGGGGTATAATTTCGCAATTTGTGTAAAATCCAAGTCTGATGTAAGGTAATAAATGTTCTCGTTAATCTTATCTCGTCTTTTGATTCATTCACGGTTGCAAGAAATCATCACATAGAGTCTCTCAAGTCTCCGTAGATATAATAAACACAGAAATAAATAACACAAAATAAATTGTAAGTATGCGTCGATTCCGCGCGACACATCCGAACATGTAAGCTGAACAATAGTGTGGGGGGAGTGAATAATCAAGAGTTGCATGGTGCTCAAACAAAAGACGAATCGATGAGATTTGAAAATCGCGTAACTCCGAATTTGCGTAAGTCGAGGGTAGCGTAAGTCGAGGTATAACTGTATTTGCATTTGTTTAACAGTGTTCTCACACATTTCACTGGAAAATTGAATGTATTTAAATACAAAATATTCGTGTGTAGTAAAATTTAACTTTAAAATTCACAAGTAATATTTGACAAATATCATGTTTTTAAAAAAGTATCTACTTCCACTTTATTTATTCTGTTATTATATGCAGCAAATAGCATTATACGTATAAAAATATATGAATTTATAAAAGCAATAATAATTATAAAATACAGCTCTCTCTTCATAGTCCGACAGCTATGGGACCAAAGGGGTGTTGGATTACCAAAACTGTCCGGGTTATCGAAAATAATTACATATTTTGCATTGTTTTGCTAGCAGTAGCTTACAACATTTCGAACAGAACTTCTCACAGAAAACAGGAAATGTATGTCGTCGTGTAAGAATTGGATGGGAAGATTCACGTCGCGACATGCTTCTGTGCAAGCAGACACGTAACGGGGACGGGTACCATAAAGGAAGATGCGTCGGACTGCTGAGCATGTCGGATTAAAAAAGTCGGACTATCAAGGGAGAGCTGTATATGTTAAATTTCAGTTGAAGTTCTCTTTTTTTGAATATATTAAAGCAATCTTGTTCCTAATAAAAGAAAACATGAACTAAAAGAAAATAATAATTTTATGTTGTCTTCTAAGCAAGTAATCATTTATTATATGTGATATTACAATATTAAAAAATTTTCATAATAATTATTAAATATTAATACTAATTTAATATAAATAAGATGTTTTTGAGAAATAAACGATTAGAGAATATTTATTATGATAATCCCGTCGTCAGGTCGAAAAACTAACCAGAGGCACTATAGAACACATTTATTTATAGTAAATTTTTAATGAGATATTATTCCTAGTAAATAGAGTTGGAGTAAAATATCATTGGAAATTTCATGCTTAATCTTACGATCAAAATATCGGCAAAAATGGAAGTTTCTTTTTTCTGGAATAACAGACGGAGCCACTGGATTTATTCAAATTTGAAAAACGTTCCGTTACAACTCAATCGTTAAGAGACGTTTGGGTAAACGACAAGAAAGAAGACGAGAGATATTTTGTGTTATTAATTTATTTTCGATTAGGAAATTGTTCCGAGGAGAAATGGAAGAAAAGTTCTAGGCCATTCAAAGGTAAAACTTTATAATCGGTCCGTCGGGCGCTGTTTTAATTTTTGATTAAAAGACAATGGAACAAGTTGGTTGGTTGTTGCAATAGAGAAGTCTTTGATACGCCTACAGAAATATTTTCAAAAAAATCCTTAACGGGTTTAAATGCGGAGTGTTTTCTTAACTAAATTCTTATTTTACAGATTATTTTAATGACTTCTGTATATTTCAGTATAAAGTTATTAACGTGCAATATGAAAAGAATTGAAGACCTATAAATACCAACTGTCGTCCGTCAATTCTTTCTTAATATCCAGAACGGAGTTAGATGAAAGACGAGAGCAGATATGGAATCCTTAGAAGCAGGAGGTTGCCTCTAAGGATTACTTGTATATGAAATTCCGCTGCAAACCGGAAGTTACGCTATTTTGATTCAAAAGTTTTCCCCCGAAAGCAGTTATAGACGATCGGCACGACTCTATTGTTAAAAGAAAAGAATGATGTACGGGGGCACTGCTAATTGCAGGTGAGCATATATTTAAATGTAGTAAATTATAAATACGATAAAAATATGCAGCCCGGCATTGTGACCGTGTCATAATAAATCAATTCTCATTATTAACCATTTTAAATAATTATAGTTTAAAAGTGTTCATCCCTTTTCAATAATATTCGAATGAAATATTTTTCAAATTTCAATTGTAAATTTCGAAAAAACACAGAAATGAAAACAATTGGAATTTAAATATTAGATGGTGACACTTATTTTTTCCACAAAATTGACAGATCATATACAGAAAAAAGTAGCAAATGCCCATTCAGATAGACAAGTGGTAAACTGTATTTTAATTAATTATTGAATGGATTCTAACTTCTTTCCTGATGAAACAAATCTTTTTGAAGGAATCGTGAAAGATTTGATTCATTTACGTGCCGTCTTTGGTTCTGTCAGAACTGAAAAGAAAAGAAGAAAACAATAAATAGCTTTAACACGCAACACTTCGCTCGTTACTACTGACGTCTTTTCGTTGTCTTTCGTGTAGAGAAAAGTCGAGGATAGTTTTATTTTACACTCTGTTGATACCACACAATTCTTCGCGTATGCGAAGACAGTGTGATAATTCTGTTGTACTGTAAGGTCTCTTTTTATGCGGATTATTTTTATGCGATTTTTAAGTTGTGCGGTTTGTATTTCATCCAAAAATTTCTTGGACAAACATACATATAGGCTTGTTTAGGAAGCCCGCGTATAGACAGTTCCAAAAATCGTGGAACGCTCAAAGCTCACTCCATTTGTTCCGCTGATATATAACGTTTATGGATGTAAAGGACAGCTAGATCTACCTTAATCGCTTTAGTTCCTAGCAATTTTTGATATAAATGTAATTAAACATAAAAAAAATACTTAAAACTGAAAAAAACGAAAGAAATGCGTTAATTTTGAAGAAAAAGCTTCAAAGTTTAACTTCCTTTGTCTTTCCCTTCTGTGAAATTTAACACCGATGAGTCATTGTTTATACATCTGGATGACCTTGAACACAGCTGGAGTTGGATTTC